ATACAAGAAGGCAGTCAAATGATGTTATGAAATAGAACAATTGGTGTATTTTTACTAACAGAGTTACGACAGTTACAACGGCAAGATAAAATCTGTTCTGTTCAAAATGATGCAGTAGCCAATGGCAACATTAGCAGCGGTGGCCTTAGCATGATGTTAGCTCCCATCAACACATTATACAGGAGCTAAATAAGTTTTATAAAAATGTCTCAGTTTATAGAAAACCCCCCAATATCATCAGCAGTTGTATATTAGCAGCTTTTGCACTTACTCATCTGCTGTTATACATTAGTATCCACAGCATAGATTAGCACTTTTACATTAGCCGCTGAGGCGAGAAGTCACTCTGCCCCCCCACTCCCCGTGATTATAAATAAAATGCATTATAACATTTAATTTTTATAGTTTTTTATAGTTTAATTAATTTGTTAACCATGCCATTTTATTGGAATGTCACAGTTTAATTGTTAGTGTGTCAGATCAGTGTTTGTCATAAGTCATATGCCTATTTCCGGCATCAAAGCATCACTCAAATCAATGACAGATTTATTTTATTTTATCCAATACAAGTTAAATACAGTCATTTTTCTGTAAAGTTCAAGTTTCAGATACCACATCTGAAAAAAAAAAAAAAAAAACAGCACAGATCCAATGCTAATTTAAAACCTTTTTTTAACGGCTGTGGCTGAGATTACATTATTAGGTCAGGACTCTTGAGACTGTTAGAAAGTACACACAAGTGTCAAGTCTCAATTACTTTTATACTCACTGGACAATTTTTTCTTCTTTACAGCAACTAATTAAATGATTATTTATACTTTGTGTCATTAATAGTTGAACACCGACAACAAGATTTTCCATATTTTGTGAATACGCAGCACAGGACTCGGGGTTTAGTTAAAAAAAAAAATCATTTTAATCAATAGGTTTTTTCTTTAAGAACTTGGAAGAAACCCGAAAGAGCAATATTTAAAACAACTTTAACCAAACTTCAAGTCCAATTGCTACTAACTCACTCGAAAGACGTGCTGGTAAAAATATGACTCTTCATACAGTCGACATCTCTCAGAGAGGATGCTCAAAAATAAGTATGCTTACAACGCAAGTGTACAGAGTTTATAACCAGACAGTTTCTAATCAGAGTCGAAGTAGTTCTACTTTATATGAAGGTACCAAAAGTACAAAAGCAATGACTGTTGATGTTTCGTAGCAGTGCAGTCAACAGTTAGAATTCAAACAAAACATAGAGCAAGCCAACAATCAACACATACGTAGTGAGTGTGTGTATATAAATATTACAACAATCAACACATACGTAGTGAGTGTATCTATATAAATATTATAGTTCCTATTTGATTTTTTTTTTCAAATTTAATTTGAATGAAGTTTTTATTAAATTCAATTGTTGCCAACTTGTAGATAACACTTGTGTTGACACACAGATACCCATACACACAAGCGTGTCACTGTGTTTGTTTTTAACAAGGAAAAGAGCTGCAATTATCGGCTAATCCTTGTGTACAACATATAATTGTGCTCTTTGAATAACAATCGGAAATGTTAACGATGGGATGATTTGTGTAATCACAACCCTCAACAGCCTCGCGTGGAACACGCTGGCCAAAACCTCGCTGCCTACAATATCAGCATTCCGACTCAGGCTAAGCACAGGCTGAGAAATGAACTCATTTGCTTTCTCCGAAGTGTCGAGGATGTGAAGAGAGAGCGAGAAGGGGAGGGGTGTAAAAAAAATGATTTACACTAGCCCGGGGTAGGGAGGTGCGAATGGGGTAATCTCTAGCGTATGATCACAGAAAGTGACATGTGTGAGGACACGACTGTATGAGTCAAGTTGATCCTATTAAGTGTTGAAATGGATTTTACATGGGTGTTAAGGTTCAGAATGCACTATTGGACCGTGGAGAAAAAGGAAATCCATATTCATGGAGCGCCGCTGTGTTTAAATGTGAGAGGAGGGAGTGGGGGAAAAAAAACATCGTAGACCATTTGAGCTCTGGAGTAATTGTTTACCAAGACGCCTCTTTCCTCAGTGCATAAATTGAGCAGTGGGGCGCAGGAGGTGGACATTTCATCATCTTCAGCTGAACGCAAGTGTTGGTTCAAGGGCCTAGCAAGTTGTACACATGGAGTCAAATCCTCCTTTGTGATAAGCGTCATTTGTCGTGATTGGTTGAAACAAATTTAGTCTCGTGGAAGAAGTCAAGACAATGAGACAATTCAAAACTATAGGAATAGAAATATATGTATATGTACTGTATATGTGTATGTATACGTAATGTATGTGAAACTGTGCGCAAGGGTATCTGTTGTGGATCTATTTCTCATTCTTATTGTATATGTTTATTATGTTAAATTTGGTAAATTCAGCGACACAATATTAAGTATTATTAATTATTATTCGATTAATGTACTGCATTAGATTGTTTGTTTAGTATTAACTCTCGTCAGGTCGCCAGAAATTTGCGATGTCAAAATGCGAGTCGCAACCTAAAAAAAAAGGAACCACTGAGTCAAGGCAGCCCATAATGGCTAACGTTACACGGACTTAAAATTTCCATTTCGTAAAGCGACGAGCACCAATAAGCTGTTGAAGCCTCACAGGCTCGAAAGCATTCTTTTCAGGAAGTTTGAAGGCTGAAAACTTTTACATCTTTTTTAACATTTCAACGCAATAAATGAATTACTGTTTCATATTTATCTTTTGTTCATATAAGGTGACGTATCGTGAATTGTGAACTTTTCAAATTAACTGATCAAATTTTTTTAGTGGAGAAAATAGAATTTACTTATATATGTATGTATGTATGTATGTATATATATATATATATATATATACATACATATGTTTTTTTATATATGTTTTTTTAGGATGTTTTACATTGTGCACTCGGTTGCGTCTCTGTCAACATGTTAATTAATTTCCAAAGATGATTAAAAGTCTTATTACAAATGTAAACAAATTTGAATTTCCATCCATATATTGTTGCTTTTAGTCAAACGTTCATTGTTTTATTCTAACAAACAAAATCTAAAAACAAAAACAACAATGCCCACAGGTATGCCCCTCGGAGCTAACTAATGAACGGATACAAATGAAACAATATGCATACGAAACAATTTTGTTAAGGACGAGGTCCAAAATGTGTAAACAGGAGCAACGATATATGGCGAGAGCCAATCAGAGGTACGCTTTTGGCTAAAGAGGCGGGATATGTTAATGTAGAGCGAAACCCAGAGAATGTTTTTGCTATTGTAGAATCAAAAGAAGATGGGAGCCTAGCCTGACTAAAACCCGTTCGCCATCCTTCTCTCTTGCGCTATCCCTCCCTCTCTCATTAAAGTTATACAAGCAACTCTTGACACGCCCTACAAGCTTAAAAATAATGACTAAAATCCACCAACTCTATGAAGCTAAATGTCATTATTTCATTTTCAAACTACATACAGAAAGACTGGGGTTTGCATCTGACTAAGCTAACAAGCACACCATAGAACTACTACAGCATCTATTACTATGTGTGCCAGCCACTATTTTTTATCATTATTAATATTATTATTATTATTATTACTATGTATCTATAAATACTAACCACTTATACCAGGCTGAGCTGAAAAAAAGTAGGAATATTATTGTCTCATTGCAACTAAAGTCGGCAACCTTTAGGCATTACATCATCATCATACTTAATGCGCAGCGATTTTTTCCGGTGATCGGCTTCCTTAATACTTGGTGTGACCTTTGAACTTCTGCTATCTACTAATCAACGAGAAGGCTTAATGTGATCATTTCCACATTGATATTGTGTGGTTGCTGTTATCGTGCACACTGAACACACTCTCTCACACACATTCATCATGCAGTTAGCAACGGACATAATAAGGACTTCCTGTCAGACATGACTCTGCAGACAATCTCAGAACAACACACACAATCCTGCCAAGAGCCACTGAAGAAGACAGACTGGGAAACATAAGTGGACAGACACACAAACAAATACCCTAAGACCGAAAACTACGGTTCTGGAAGAAAAAAAAAAGAATCTAGAAAACATAAAAAGTGCACTACAAACTTCAAAAAAAGAAAAGAAAAGAAAAGAAAAGAAAAGAAAAGAAAAGAAAAGAAAAGAAAAGAAAAGAAAAGAAAAGAAAAGAAAAGAAAAGAAAAGAAAAGAAAAGAAAAGAAAAGAAAAGAAAAGAAAAGAAAAGAAAAGAAAAGAAAAGAAAAGAAAAGAAAAGAAAAGAAAAGAAAAGAAAAGAAAAGAAAAGAAAAGAAAAGAAAAGAAAAGAAAAGAAAAGAAAAGAAAAGAAAAGAAAAGAAAAGAAAAGAAAAGAAAAGAAAAGAAAAGAAAAGAAAAGAAAAGAAAAGAAAAGAAAAGAAAAGAAAAGAAAAGAAAAGAAAAGAAAAGAAAAGAAAAGAAAAGAAAAGAAAAGAAAAGAAAAGAAAAGAAAAGAAAAGAAAAGAAAAGAAAAGAAAAGAAAAGAAAAGAAAAGAAAAGAAAAGAAAAGAAAAGAAAAGAAAAGAAAAGAAAAGAAAAGAAAAGAAAAGAAAAGAAAAGAAAAGAAAAGAAAAGAAAAGAAAAGAAAAGAAAAGAAAAGAAAAGAAAAGAAAAGAAAAGAAAAGAAAAGAAAAGAAAAGAAAAGAAAAGAAAAGAAAAGAAAAGAAAAGAAAAGAAAAGAAAAGAAAAGAAAAGAAAAGAAAAGAAAAGAAAAGAAAAGAAAAGAAAAGAAAAGAAAAGAAAAGAAAAGAAAAGAAAAGAAAAGAAAAGAAAAGAAAAGAAAAGAAAAGAAAAGAAAAGAAAAGAAAAGAAAAGAAAAGAAAAGAAAAGAAAAGAAAAGAAAAGAAAAGAAAAGAAAAGAAAAGAAAAGAAAAGAAAAGAAAAGAAAAGAAAAGAAAAGAAAAGAAAAGAAAAGAAAAGAAAAGAAAAGAAAAGAAAAGAAAAGAAAAGAAAAGAAAAGAAAAGAAAAGAAAAGAAAAGAAAAGAAAAGAAAAGAAAAGAAACCAACGTGGCTTTTTAAGGAGGGTTCAAAGCAGAGGTGTGGCTTCGTCCAACACTGACAGTCCTTCTCGGGCAGATAGGCTTAGGTCAGGGTGAGGTGAGGTAGCTGGATGGGTGGGTGGGTGGTCGGGGTGGTTGGGGGTGGAGCTAGGGCTGTCGATGAAGGGGACTCTCCTCGACTACGCGTATTCTTAAGCAATAACAACGTGATCCGTATTATCCACCCAAGAATACCCGTCACCGAAGAGAGTCTTTCAGTAAACAGGCGGAGCTAAGCCAAATAACGCGTCTGCAGCAACGCTGCCAACTCATAATCATCATCATCATCATCACCACCACCAGCATGACCACCTCCCAAAGAAGCCTCTGTTCAAGCTCCACGGGCAAAACAGACATGCAAAGTAACAGAGAAACGTGGGAAAGCGGCATCAATAGCAGACGCCTTGCTTCAGCGTCAGGTGAGTCACCCATCAACGGTTCCTGTGCGAAGGAGAAAAATTGACATTGGTGTTTTTCAATTCCCAGCGAGGAGCATCGAGTGTGCAGTGGAGAAAAGGCAAGAGAAAAAGTCTTAGGCTCCTCCTGATCTCTCTTCGTCTGAAGGAGACAGTGAGAAGACAATTGGCGCACACACATACACATTCACGTTCACCAACGGCAAAAAATCTTACCCAGGCCAGAGCCTAGCGGTCAGGCTGCCTCAGTGTCTCGGATATCACCTCATCCATCAGTAATGGTCAAGTCTCTCACTCAGACCCTTCACGGTGGAAATTGGGGTGTGGCGGCGGGTGGAGCACAGAGACATACAGGTGAGACACAGGGTTTTTACAAATCTCATGTCACGCTGCCGTGTCAAACAGCCGGCCCAAAACACCTGCTAGCAAACACAGACGCCGTCTCCGGCGCTTACACTTGTGCCGTGCCCAGAGAAATCAACACGTGTATACTGCCAGAGGAAAAAAGGGGAAAAGAGGGAGTTACACTGGTTGGAAAATAGGGCCATGTGTCCTGGCCATAAACACACATACAGACCTTGGCCCGTGGGCCAGATACGGTGCACTGGGCTTTATCATCCGGCCCGCCAAACATTGGTTCAAAGGTATGGTAAAGACCTACGACGAATCGACTGTCATTTTTTTTGTTGATGCCACACTAAACTGCAACAGACATCATACGCGCCAAATGATCTTTGATAGCTTAGATTTTTTTTTGTACATTTTGTTTAAATGATTTTGCTCAGTATACTACATCCGCTGATCAAAATCTCATTTTGACCAGTGGGCCAAAAGGTTTGCCCCACCCCCACCCCCCCACCGCCTTAGGATTTGTTACACCACTGTCTCTTCAATGCCCAGATTTTGAAAAATAAATCAATAAAAATAATTTAACATTTCCCACAAATAAATCCTAGATTTTTTTTCTTTTTTTTTTTTCTTATGTGCTGATATACCAGCGTTATGTTCAAATTAAAACAATGAGCCTAGGTGACGCAGCTTGGCCATGAATTATGTATGAAAGGTTGAAGCTAATTTATTCCATTCTACCCTAGCTGAACCAGCCGTCTGGATAAGAGGAGCATGACCCAGCCAAGGCCACAATCATTCCACTGATTTATTCTTAAAAAAATATTTACAATTACTCTGGAGACAAGCTTGATCTTTTAAGACTAAATTACAGTCGCAGATGAGAAGTAAGTGATGTAAGAGACATCAGTTGACATTATTTTAGAGCATGGAAAAAAAAGACAGTGATTTTTAGCTTTTACTTTTTTTTGTTTGTTTTTTTTTTTTGTTTTGTTTTTTTAATTCACACCAGTGAACTGAACAGGGACAGAAAACAGCCGAACGCAGACGAAGTCATGGAGTTTGACGTCAAAGGAAAAAGTCAAAACATGATGCACTGCACTGGTGGAGGAGAAACATAAAGAAAGTAGATTAGCGGCTGTAGTTTTTTTTTTTACTTGCTTCTGCTTTTTTTTTTACCATCTATCATTTACATTTGCCTCTAACACACACACAAACAGAGAGAGAGACTCGCTAGCCCCCCCGATGTCATTGATTGTGCTGTTGAGTTACCCTGGGGACTCATCAGATTACTCTGACAGCAGCGGGGGCTGGTAATCTCTGCTTTGGTTTTTATGTCCTTACACACTCATGCCTCACCCAGTCTCACTGGGTGAATTTAAGCTCCCAGCTATAGGTACAGTTGACAAAGTACCACAGTGTTTTAGGAGGGGAAAATGTTTGGTTTTCGGTTCTTTGCGCCAATGAAAACCGAGTCTCTGATAGGATATAACGATAGTGGAATGACATGGAGAATAAAAAGAAGCACAAAACACATCGACAACAAGCACTCAAGAGCTGTAGCACAAAGAGATACAAACGATCAAACCGACACGACAACTTTTTTTTATACCAAAAAACCAAATTAATTTGTTAAACAGGTGATAGCAAAAAAAAAGTGAATAAGAAGTAAGGGATAAAAAGGAGGGGGGGGGGTAAAGGTACAACAGGTCCTCACTCTCTTACCATCTTTTTAATTCTTCTCTTTTCCACAGGGTGTTGTCTTTCCTCTCCTTTCCCTATGCGTCTCTTTTTAAAAAAATCCCTCCCCTTTCCTCTGTCTGTTCTTCCTTGACATTTTTTTTCTTTCATTTTTTCCCCCTTCTCTGTGCTTTGTCCATGGCAAAGCTTGGAAAACCTGGAAAGTGGTGGTCGCTCTACCCCTCCCAGTTCCGGAAGGAGCTCCCTACGGATGAAATAGGAGGCATATCCTGGCAAGAGATAGAGGATCCAGCAGTGATGGAGGAGAAAGCGGCGGTGGTGCTGATGCTGGTGCTGATGCTGCCGGAGAAGAAGGAGGGCAGGGATGCTTAACAAAAGATCTCCTTTCCTCCTGGTGTCCACTTCTTTTCCTCCCTCCCTTCCTCCCTCCCCGTTCTCCTCCCTCCTTTGACTCTCTTCGCTGGTTTTTCTCTCACGTGCAACGGGCAGCCAGTTGTTGCTCCATGGTGGAAAAATAACTGACAGCTGACGGCACCGAGCCTGACGAACGATCGAGGGGAAGGGAGAGCTAACGAAGCCGGGGGTGAGAAAGAGTAAGGACGCATGAGAGAGAGAGGGAGAAAGAAAGAGAGAGAGAGAGGAAGAGCATGTGGCGTGATTTGGCATCTACGAGCAAGTGGCAGAGAGGAGAGGGAGGGATACAGAGGTAGAAATGGAGGGGGGGTGGGAGGATGGACAAAGGTGGAGGAAGGGAGATGGAGACGGAAAGGTTGGGCAAGGCAGGATGCGCAGGGATGAGACAGAGAGAGTAGGGAGAGAGAGAGTGTTCAGTGGAAAACAGGAGGAGCGAGGAAAAGAAGTAAAGATAGAGAAGAAGGGCAAAAAAGAAGGTGATGAAAAAGCTTCACCCATTAGCAAGTGTGGTTTTTCAAACAGAGAGGAAAACAAAATAATCACAGCTGCGCTTCATATACACATACATTGCACACACAGAGAGAGAGACAGTCTTTTTCTTGATGCATCTGGTAGTGTGTGTTTATATCGTTTCCTGGGTTCAATCATACAAACACACACGCATGAAATTGAAGAAAATATATCGATTCCTTTTAGGCACCAGGAACCATATAGGGACCAGACTAACTAATTTAGTTTTGAATATTGAAATTAGAGCAGAAACATGAGTTTTACTAAAGTTAAGGTAGGAGTAACCCTTTGTAATGTAATCCTTCAAATGTTGCAATTCCAAACAATCCCTTTAAAACATTAAAAAATCAGAGTTGTAATCGTGTCCATTTAATCCCTTTGATAACCATGCAAGTCATATCTGAATTGTCAAACCAGTTTTTTTTTTTTTTCAGATATAGGAAATAAAAAAGTTCATAACTATCCATGAAGCCAATGGCCAAGCAGTCATGGGAAGTTCATAACTATCCATGAAGCCAATGTCATGGGTTTTTTTTTTCACATCACATTATTTATAAAATGTCAGGAAGAGACAGGTAAAGAAAACTGGTCCAGACAAAGGTCTCTTTTGTGTCAGCTGATCTTTTTACCTGCTCCAACAGACATTGACTTTTCAACCTGACATTTTTTTTTTTTTTTAATAAATGAGATTTCAATTTATTTTAAGAGGGACGACGTAAATGAGATTTCAATTTATTTTAAGAGATTTTATTTTCCGACTGTGGATGATGGTCAGATGATTTAAGGGTACCATTAGGGTTCCACATTTCCCAGCCTCAAATACAGAGGGAGAAGAGAAAAATAGATTAAAAAAATAGATGGAGAGTTGGAGGGGGTGGGGACATGGAAAATACCTTTTTTACTTTCCCTTTCCCCTTTACCACAGCTGCAATAACAAGAGAAGGACAAAATACACACACTCACTCACAGACACACACACACACACATCTCAACCCCATTATGAACTAATATTGACGACTGGGTTTTGTAGTTGATAAACTGTAAATTTCTTGTTACTGTTTTCGTAAAGAAAACTTTACGAAAACAGTTGGTTGTGTTATGTATAGGAGGACATTTTTAAATTCTGCCTTCAATATGTAAGAATTTCTCTATGGTATTTTTTTTTTGTTAAGTATTTCTTTATAGGGATTGGTGGGCTAAAAGTTTTTTTACTGCAAGTTTTTTTTTTTTCACTGCATGAACATTGTTCAAAAAATGTATAATATATAAAGCAAGACAAAGACATTGGTGAAGCTGCAGCAGGGGCTCTCCTTCGTGGTGATACAGTGCCCCCATGTGGCTACTGCCGATGAGTAGCCCTGCTGTTGGACAGCAATTTCCGTTTTGTTTTCCATTTTGGGGCAGTGTTAGGTGTTAGAAATAGTGCAGAAAATAAAAACAACGTAAAACGTACGTAAGGTTTTAGGTACTATATATCAGTGGCCTTCAAATGAAACTGTTGATTAAAATCAAAATATATACTTTAATCTATATTTAAAATGGGCTTGATATATTAAAGCTGAACAGGTATCTAAGAGTTAAATAATGTACTTTAATATGAAAGTATATGTAAACAATGAAAATGTCAAACTACATAATCAAAAGAAGCCTGCATTTTACTTGTCCAAAAAATTAGCATTAATTCCCCAACAGGAAAGCTTCACTTCTGAAAGTCATTTAGGGCCTTTCTCTCTCATCACAAGCAAACACATAAGAACACGTTCATACTAATGGTTATGATCCCTTAAACAATATTGGGTTAATAACGCCATCACCAAGAGAGCAGAGAGACAGAGACAGTGGAAGGAAACAGTGATGAAGCTGTGAAGCAGCTTTTCTTCACCAGGAAGGTCTGGTCTTTTTTTTTTTTTTTTTTTTTCGGCAGCTGCCAGCTCCACAAAAGCGAGTGAATGGAATTTGAAGCGCCACAAGGCCATCTGCACTGCAGCGCGTGTGGCACAACTGTGACCCAGGGACAGAGTAACAGAAGAAAAAGAGAAATCAATAAACTGTTAGCGGCAAATTAATCCTTTAAGGACATTTTAAATGACAGGTGGGAACAGGACTTAACGCTGGCTTTACTTTGTTTAAGCTTCTCTATATTTTAGGAGCGCTAATTCTTCATTTCTCTCGCTAACAAATGCAGATTCGAGAGACATTTCGTCCGTGATCTGTTGACCTGTCATGGGATCATTTTCACTCAGTGACGAGCAACCTTTGTTGACAATTAATATTGATGTGAATCAATACAAGAAACATCCATAATTAATTATTATTAATTATATTATAATAATTATTGTTGCATGTATTGAAACAATATAGATCCCAATATCCCCCACATAACACTCCTTCCTTCCAGCATTGATATCCCCATTTAAACTTTGGTGGTTTATCCAAGTATTAACTAGTCCTAACTACACTCAAACCTAATCTTACTCTATTTTCTTTGTCTTTGAATCTTTCTGGCGGTCTCTGAATCCTGTCTAGGTAACGCTTCACAGATGAAGGGGTGACAGCAGGTGGGGCTGGTAAAGAGCCATCATCTTCAGGGTTGACGGTGTTCTTTGCTTTTTTGAGCAGCAGGTGGGGCTGGTACAGACTCATCATCTTCAGGGTTGACGGTGTCCTTTGCTTCATCACAGAACTCAAAGCCAACAGGGAAAGGTGTAGTATTGGCATCCACGCGTGTTGACCCAGATGCATCAGTTGAATCTCAAAGCCAACAGGGAAAGGTGTAGTACTGGCATCCACGCGTGTTGATCCAGATGCATCCAACGGTTGAGCCACACTAGGTTCTGTCCAATGTTCACCTTGTTGGTTAATGGTCCTGCATAGTCGATGTGGACATGTTGCCAAGGCTTTGTAGGCCCTTCCCGCACATGCAGTGGAGCTGTTGGTGGAGACTTGTGGGTCTGTTGACAACCATTGCATGTCTTGGCCACATCTTCCAGCTGGAGCTCAGTCAGAACTCTGGGACACATCTACGCGGTATGGGGTACAGTTCAGCCTTCAGGACCGTATTGTTGGTTACCTTAAAAGCTCCGCAGATGCATACTGAGCCATTTCCCTTAACAACTGAAACTATTGGCATTGCCCATTCAGACCAGTCCACTTTGAATAGAATGCCCTCATTTTCCAGTCTTTGAAGTTCATTTTCCACTTTTGGGTGGAGGGCGTATGCAACTGGGCACACCTTGTGAAACTTGGGTACGGGATCATCATCCAACACAATCTGTGCTTTTAGGTGCTTTAACGTGCCAATGCCATCTAAATAAAACTTCTTCTGATTTGTTTGTAAGTATTTTGTTAAGCTTTTCAGTTCTAGAGCGGTTGCTCTGCTTTTTAATCACATCATTTTTTTTGATTGACTCCCAATCCAGTTGTATTTCACGAAGCCATTCACGTCCAAACAGGGGTGCACCTCCTCTCTCAACAACATACAGGGAAAGTACACACTGTTGATCACCATAGTGGACATTCACTGAGATCACTTCGCTTGGTTTTGGATCCTTGTCGCCAGTTGTTGTGTATGTTGTCACAATACACACACATTATGTCATATGTTGTACTACAATGGTGGGCCTTGTTCCTGAGTGCTCACACCTACAACCAGAGGTGGGTAGAGTAGCCAAAAATTGTACTTAAGTAAAAGTACTGTTACTTCAGAGTAATATTACACAAGTGGAAGTAAAAAGTAGTCATCCAAATTATTACTTGAGTAAGAGTCAAAAAGTACATGGTGAAAAAACTACTGAGTAACTGTTGAGTAACATTTATTTTTTAACGTGCATTTAATCAGATAAACAAAATTACAGAGGAGAGTTTATCCCATCAACAAAATAATAAAACAAAACAAATTCATTAAATACCTTAAAATAAAATAATCTTTAGGTAAGTACTTCAATATAAAATAAAAATCAATGAACTAAAAAGAGTACATAAAGAATTAAATATTTACGAAATAACTTAAATTACAGCACAAGTAACAAAAACTTCCAAACCTCTGGACCCTCTTTGGATAAAAACACCTTAAAAAAAAAAAGAACGAGTACCTGAGGACGGACGCTGAGAATGAATCCCTCACTCATTACTTGCAGAAGTAACATGTGAGTGATAATACGCAGAGTGATTCATTCGTAGTGAGTGATTAATTCGCAGAGAGTGATTCATTCCCAGTGAGTGATTCACTCGCAGTGAGTGATTAATTCACAGAGAGTGATTAATTCTCAGAGAGTGATTTGTCAGTGATTTGGGGACATGCTACATAGTTTAGTGGTTAGCACGCCTGTCTTGAAAGCAGAGAGTCCTGGGTTTGATTGCCACATGTGGCAGTGTGTGATTTGCAACCATGTACTCAATGGCGCCTCTGTTGGCAGCCTGTGTTGGTTTGCGTGTTTCACACAAATCTCTTTTGGAGTCTGTTTACTTTTACACAGTGAAAAAATATTCTCTTTATTTTTGTCACACTGGACTTGGATAACTTGTAAACCTAATTTCCTTCCACCTTGTGGACACCTAGAGGCAACTACCTGTGTGATGTTAGGTCTTGCCCTAAATTAAGCTAAAATAAGTAGAAAAAAATTTTAAAGGATGAAGAAGAGACTTCAGCATCAGCTCACGTGTGGCATAAAGGTCACTGGAAAAACCAAAAAAAGAAGTGTCTGTAAACCTCTGTGTATGTGTCTGTGTATGATCTAGAAAGCAAATAATGAGGTACGGTATATCATGGGAGAATCTTTAAAGAGGCAGCAAGGCCTGTGGCAAGCAGCAGGCATCTTTTGTACTGAGGCAGAAGGGCCCAATTATCAGTGGCGTCTGCTCTCGCTGCTTAGCACCCATATGTTAATGTGCAGGACACAAGACAACAGGAATAAAGGTAACACTTTGACGGTCATTTGAGATAGTGTGTTACAACAGCAGGAGCCATCAGTGTTTGATGATCCTATATACTTACTATATATATATATTCATATATATATACATATACATATATATGTATATATATATGTATATATATATATATGTATATATATATATTTATGATTTTGCCCTCAAGGCAAATAATAAATTGATTTAACTTTTATTTAAACATGAGGAAACTATGAGGAATATTCGCAACTCTTTGCAGTATTTATATATAAACATATAGTTTTATATCAAATACATATACACATATATGTGTATGTGTGTATATATGTAAATTATATATATAAGAATATTTATACACATATGTGTATGTAGGTTTGTGTGTATATATATATTTATATATATGATCAAAAAAAGGGTGGAAAGTATCATTTTAAATCAT